GGAGCAGGGGGACGGCCCCTCGGGGTCTGGCCAGACTGATGGGTTGTGGTGAACGCCGAAAATACTGATGGTGCAGACGTTCCCTGTGGGAGAGGAGGGGACAGTGAGGCAGGGCCTGGCAGCCTAGGGGACCACCACCCTGTCCCTCCCCCTATGTCACGGGCACCTTTGGGGATGACCCGGCCATCTGGGAACACAACGTCCTGGGCACAGCGTCTGGAAAAGACGGTGACCGGGGGGTGCAGCCGCAGACTCTCCTTGATACACATGGTCAGGAAGGGCAGCTGGGCCAGGTCGTCCCTGAGGGAACCCCCACCCCAGCTGTTATCCAGGGAGCAAAAACAGAGACCACCATCCGCTCTATTATCCGGTGAGAACTTTTCTCCCTATAACTAAAGAGACTTCAGGTGGATCAATATTTGAGAATTAGAAAAGAACCCAAGAAAATTTAGCTAGGTGTTTTGTTTTGTTTTGTTTTTGGAGAGTTTTTTTTTGCGATAGGGTGCATGAGCTCACCAGAAAGACAGAGAGAGACAGAGACAGAAAGTGAGAAATCACCCCCCAGGGGGGATGGCCACGCTGCAATCCCTTGCAATCCCTTCTCCTCCATTTTCCTCTCCGGATCTTGGGTACCCACACACACATGCCCAGTGTGAGTTTAAGCCATCGGGTCCGGGACTCAAACGCCGTCAAATACGTGGGAGTCCAGCAACATAACCGTTGCCAACTGCTGGTCCCTAGCCAGGTATTTTTAGAAACATTTTTCTGGAGGCCGGCAGGTGGTGCAGTGGTTTAGGCACTGGACTCCCACATGGCCAAAAACTTATGTGTCCAAAATCCCTAGAGGAGAATGGAGGAGAAAGGAGTGTCATCCCTCAAGAGATGATTTCTCGCTGTCTCTGGTGACTGCACGTGCCTTAAGAGAAAGCCCTTAAAAAAAGTTTTTTTAAAAAAAGGAAATACTTTTCTGAAGACAACACAGAATCCAAAAGCTAATCATAAGAGCGTCAAGTGTTTGCATAAGTTTGCATAAAATAGATATTCTTTGTTAAAAGAGAGAGAGAGAGAGTAAGTAAGCAAGTCACCAGTTCCGGCACCCAAACCATGGTCTAACAGCGCCTCAACCACTACACCACCTGCCAGCCCCTAAAATAGATATTTTTATGATAAGAGAGTAAAATCAAAGTGCAAATGAAGAAGAAGTAAAATAAGCAAGTCCTATGTTTTGCTCTTATTTATCATTGTACTAGAGATACTAGCAAATGCAATTAGACATGGAAAACAGAGGAGAGTAATGCAATTTGAAATGAGCAGGTTAATGTATCCTTTTGGCAGAGTAATTTTATACAAAAGAACCCAGTGTGTGTGTGGGGGGGTGATTTCTTTAGAAGTTTTTGCCTTAGGGTGTGTGTACTCACTGGACAGAGAGGGAGAGACAGAGACAGTGAAAGAGAAAGTGAGAAATCATCACCTCAGGAGGGATGGTTATGCTGCAATCCCTTCCCCTCCATCCCCTCCCTGGATCTTGGGCATGCACACACATTTGCCTGGGGTGACTTCCATGCCACTGGGTCCAGGACTCAAACCACAGTCAGCCATGTGGAGTCCAGATGTAACTGTCAAACCATCTACCGGCCCCTGTAAAACTTTTTATAAACATTGGAGATCCACTAAGAAGACCAAATTATTTTCATTAATCTTTCTTCTTTTTCTGTAGCTATTTAAAACATTAATGGGGGAGGGGCGACAGGTGGCTTGGTGGTTAAGGGCACTGCACTCCCACATGGCCAACCACAGTTTGAGTCCTAGACCTGGTGGTTTGCTTTCTCACCTTCCCTCTCCCTCTCTCTCTTTCTTTGGTCAAATTAAAATAAATAAAGTTAAATAAAATAAATCTTTACAAAAAATGTTAATCCTGGGGACAAGCAATTGGTGTGGTGGTTGAAGCTCTGGACTCCCAAATGACTGACCATGGTTCAAGTCCCAGACCTTGTAGCTTGCTTTCTCACTTTCCCTCTCTCTTTCTGTATCTTTCTCTGGTGAGCACATGTGCCCTGTAACAAATTGAAGACAATAATAATAATAATAATGATAATGATAAATAAAATTAAATAAAAATAATTCTTTAAAAATATAAAATGTTAATTCCTGATACAGTTAACTGGTTCAGAATTTGAAAACTATAAAACATCACCCACTGTATGGCCCAGTACTATCCATTTCCCCTCCCCAGTTTGCCTAGATTATTATTTTTCATTTCCTTCTATAATACTTTTTAAAAAGAATTATTTATTTTATTTCATTATTATTATTAGTTGTGCTATAGGACACATGTGCTCACCAGACAGAGCAAGAGAAAGAGAAAGGGAAAGTGAAAAAACAAGCTGCTAGGTCATGGACTCAAACCATGGTTGACCATGTAGGAGTCCAGCACCCCAACCTCCATGCTGTCTAATGGCCCTCCACAGCTACTTTTAGAATCTTAAAGAAATTTAATAGTGGCCATCCCCCCGGGGGATGATTTCTCACCTTAATAGTGGCCATTCTCCCCGGGGGATGATTTCTCACTTTCCCTCTCACTGTTTCTCTCTCTATCTTTCTCTGGAGGGTTCACCCACTCTATGGCAAAGACCAAAAATAATAATAATAATTATTATTATACAGCAGCATACTGTATACTGGACACACTGCTCTGTGCTCTTTTTCACTTAACAGTATATCAATATCTTCTTGTATAATCTTGTGGGACATGTATTGAAATAGGGATGTTCCAATTCTGAAGCTATAATGTCCCCCATGGTTTCTTCTAGACCTTTTAAAACGGTTTGGGGCCAATGGCATGATGGTTAAAGTGTTAGATTTCCATGTGATTGACCACAGTTTGAGTCCTGGACCTGGCGGCTTGAAAATCACAATCACTCAATCCTTTTTCTCTTCTTTTCTTTCTTTTCTTTTCTTTTCTTTTCTTTTCTCTTCTTTCTTTTTTTTTTTTTTTTTTTTTTTTTTTTTTTGCAGCACAATTTTGTTTATTATTATTTCTTTTCTTTCTTTTTTTTTTTTTTAGAGCAGAGGCCAACAGGTGGCATGGAGGTTAATGGTGTTGAACTCCCATGTGGCCAAATATGGTTCAAGTTCTGGACCTGGTGGCTTGCTTTTTCACTTCCCCTCTCTCTCACTCTCTCCTTTCTCTCTCTGGTAAGTATGTGTGCCCTAAAACAAACTGAGAAAAAAAATTAAATAAATATAGTTAAATAATTCCTAAAAAAAAATATTGAAAGAAAGAAAAAAGAACAGACATGCAGGAGTGAAGATGTTTTCTGGGGACAAAGATATTTCAGTGAGGAAAGGAAAGGAGTGGAGAGAAAGCTCATTTACTGGATATGTGCTAAGTGTCTGCCCTCAAACACTGTTACTAAGTCACTCAGCATCCCAGATCTTTCTGCCCCAAAAGCCTGCAACCTTGCCCTTACCACCCTGACTGGCTACCAGGTCCTGTCTTGGTACTCCTTCTATTGCCACTGGGCAATCATGACAGGATCAGTAAAAGCATCTTCCTCTCCCACCCGGCAGCAGAGCCAAAGAGAGGGACTCCAATACAGGCCACTAGGACCTGCACTCACCACTTGATCTCCTTAGGCTCGCGGTCCCTCAGGAGTTCTCGCACCTCCTGCCGGCAGCGCTCCTGGTATTCTGGGTGCTTTGCGAGGTTGTACAGGACCCAGGAGAGGCCACTAGCTGTGGTGTCATGACCTGAGGGGCAGCCAGGCGGACTTGGGTCTCTGCGCAGCTTCAGCACCAGAGTGATGGACAGCTCCCATGCATTGATGGGGATGGGAAGAAGAGGGAAGGATGGACAGAATGGAGTGGCCCAAGTCCCTGGGTTGAAGAGAACCCTGTCCCCACTGTAGTCGTACAGTGGGACTCTCACCCTCAAACATGAAGGTGTCCGCCTCTGCTCTTATGTCCTCGTCAGACAGCTCCTTCCCATCTTCATCCTGGAGACAAGACAAGACCCCTAGAATCACACTAGCTCTGAGGGCTCCTGACTCTAACCTGAGACAGTCTGTGAAGATCCATGATGTTTCCAGAAACCTAAACCCACCCCGCACACCTAGACTTCTCACGGTCATTACAACCAGAACCCTCTTGTTACAAATATATTCACTGCTTTCCTTCCCTTCTGTATTGTTCCTGGTGAGAGAAATCAAGAATCTATGAATATTTTCATTTTCTCCATGATGGCTTTCTTAAAAAAAGTTGCCTGTCGGGCTAGTAGGTGGTGTGGAGGTTAAAGCTCTGTATCCCACATAGATGACTCAGGCTTAAAAATCACACCAGGAGTCCAGAAGTGGTATAGTGGTTAAGCCACTGGACTCCCACATGGATGACCATGGCTCTAGTTCTGGACGAGACAGTTTGCTTTCTCACTTTCCTGTTCTATCTCTCTTTGTCTCTCTCTGATCAAATTTTAAAATATTAATTAATTAATTAATTTTTTAATTAAAAAATGTATTAATTCATTCATTTATTTTAATTTGACCAGAGAGATGGGGGGGGGAGTGAGAAAGCAAGCCACCAGGTCCGGGATTCGAACCATGGTCAGCCATGTGGGAGTCCAGTGCCCTTAATCACTACGCCACCTGCCAGCCCCTCATCTTATCTTGAAGAATACTGTTTGCTGTGAAATCATGCCTTAATTTTATCACATGTAATTACTTGAAACTGATCCTTTGCAAATGATTACAGTTCTAGTCCTTGACCTGGTGGCTTGAAAATCATGCTGGGTGCATGTGCACATGTGGCCAAAATCCCTGGAGGAGAATGAAGGAGAGGGGATAGCAGCATGGCCATTCCCTTGGAGGGGTGATTTTTTTGGGGGGGGGAATTTTTGCTATAGGGTAAGTGTGCTCACAGAAAGACAGAGAGAGACAGAGAGACAGAAAGCAAGAAATCACCCTCCAGGGGGGATGGCCACACCACAATCCCTTCTCCTCCATTCTCCTCTCGGGATCTTGAGCACACACTCACATGCGCCCGGCGTGAGTTTTAAGCCAGTGGGTCCGGGACTCGAACTGCAGTTGACTACATGGGAGTCCAGCAACATAGCCATGACGCCAACTGCTGGTCCCTGGAGGAGTGATTTTGATATGAATCTTGTTTGGTAACTGCCTGTAAACAGGAAATGTTCTATTCCATCTTTGGAACCTTTCTTCAGGGTACTGTTACAAGCTGGATTGCAACTCTTTGGGGGCTATTTTGGGACTCTTCTGGTTTGCATCATCCCTGACCCAGCCTATATAATCCTTGTAACTTCTGCACCTTGGGCCCAGACTTAAGAGTATGAGCTCTGCTCAGACCATTGGCATTATAAACCTGAGTCCTCGTCCTCTTTGAGTGGTGCCTGGTTTCTTGGTGGTCTGCTTTCTGCAACATTTTTGGTACCCTAACCCGGAAGTCAACTGCACTGCCCCCTTGAGCCACCCGTTCAACGGGAGGAGCCCCAGCATTGAATGAGGTGGCACCACCCAGTCTTTTCTTGGGTCCTCCTTCATCAGGGGCTGTCGGCAGCCAACCCCCACTGGACTCCATAGACAGAACAACACACAGGCTGAGAACACCCAGTCAACTCATGGCCAAAACGTCTGGATAAGGTTAAAGTCCCAGAACTCAGGAACCCAGTTAGGCCCACCTTGCTTGGGTGAAAGGGGAGCTTGGTCACTTCCTATGGTCTCCCATTGGAGCCACCAGGTCTGTGTTCAGGTGGCTGTGCATTCATTCCTCCTGCTGGGCATGCCACAAGCTCTGGTGACTGTGAGGTCCCCTGAGGGGGTGGGAGGCTCCATTGGGGACTTTCTCAAAGAGGGGAAGACATTGTGATAGACTCTGGAGTGATTGTGTAAATGTGTGTGTGTGTGTGTGTGTGTGTGTGTGTGTGTGTGTGAGTGAGAGTTTCTGTGATCCCACAGTCTTTGTACTATAGAATCTGAATGGGTCCTCACCTATGTTTCCATCACAGGGAGGGGGATTTCTTCACATATTCAAGAGACCCTGGTACCCCCTCCAGGTCTCAGATGGTTTGTTTCTGTCTCAGTCTGTGGGCTCAAGGCTTATCTCTTCTGTCTTGGGAAAGGAAATTAGCTTCAATTAGATCCCCTCTTGTTCTGGTGATGAAAAATTTCAAGAAGGGGTTCTCTGGAGAATATGGTGTCAAAGTATAAGTAAATGTTTTTAATCAACTAATCATTTAACTAGTTGAACATTTCCTTTTTTTTTTTTTTTTTTTGAGAGATTTTCACTGCAGGGCGCATGCGCTCGCCAGAAAGACAGAGAGAGACATAGAGACAGAAAGCGAGAAATCACCCCCCAGGGGGGATGGTCACGCCGCAATCCCTTCTCCTCCATTCTCCTCTCGGGATCTTGGGCACGCACGCACACGCGCCCAGCGTGAGTTTTAAGCCACCGGGTCCGGGACACGAACCGCGGTCGACTACATGGGAATCCAGCGACATAGCCATTATGCCAACTGCTGGTTCCCTAAGTAAATGTTTTTAGTCAACTAATCATTTAACTAGTTGAACATTTCCATTTTTTTTTTTTTTTTTTTTTTTTTTAAAGGGGCTTCAAGATTTCTATTTTCTGACTATATTGGTTTTCTGACTAAACCGATTTTCTGACTATGACTGGTTTTTCTGATTAAACTGATTTCTTTTCTGACTGAACTGATTGGTTTTCTGACTGACAGTCTAATTATTTAATAGGATAAAATTTCAATTTTCTATAGAGAAATCGATTGGCTTTCTGAACTACTAAACCTAACCAAAGGCAAGAAAACATTTGACAGGATTGGTATGCCAGGTAGCCTATGCCCAAACTGTTCAATTGTGAAAATGAGTCTTTCAGGTTTTGTAGGAATAAAAGATATTGGGTAGGTCTCTACATTAGGAAGTATGTTAAACAAATTTGTGTGTTTACATGTTCATAAGCTACTGATATATGTTGAAGTTGAGGTTAATAGAAATTAAACATTCTATGGGCCAGCAGGTAGCATGGTGGTTAAGGTACTAGACTCCCACATGGCAGAGCATGGTTCAAGTCCCAGACCTGGTGGCTTGCTTTCTCACTTTCCCTCTCTCTCTCTCTGTCCCTCTCTGGTCAAATTAAAATAAAGTTAAATAAAATAGTTCTTTAAAAAAAAATAAAAGAGTGGACTTTACTAAGGTCAAGCTGTTAGGCTGGAGGCCTGAGCAGCTTGGATGTGGGGGTTGAACACCATGCTGCAGTCAGCTGGTACAACCCGGATCTAGTCTGTCATCAGACCTGCGCTGCACTCGGATATAACCGGATGTACATGGCGCTCTACTCTGCACATGGAGCTCTACTCTGCACAGGGGGCTCTACTCTGCACATGGCACCAGATCCTGCTTGGCACACTAGTTTGCTCTCCTTCTCAACCTTTACCACACATGGACTGCTTCTACCTCTAAGACACTTCCCCTCCCTATATCCTTATAAAAATTGCTAAACCCCATCCTAGCGTGCCACTTCTCTGGCTTTTTCTCTCTCTTTCTCTGTCGGATGAGTGAACCCCGCATGGGAACACTCCCAATAAAGACTCTATATTTTATTTCTATTTTCTCACGTGGTTGGCCCATTCCTTACACAAGCCCTATCAAGGCTACCTGTATCTGTTATAGGCATCACCCCATAAGTCCATCACACTAGAGTGAAGAGGACTTGCCTCTACAGACCCATGCAAAACCCCTCTAGATGATGCTTCGGAGATGAGGAATCTGTAACCCGGCTCTAGTCACTCTGGTGACTCCAGACATGAGAGTACGAGCTCTGCTGGGATCGCTGGTGTTATAACTCACGTTCCCACACTCTGCCTGGAGCTTGCTTGGTTTCTTGGTAGTCTGCTTTCTGCAACATTTTTTCACTTTCCCTCTCACTGTCTCTCTCTCTCTCTAGTGAGTGCATGTACCCTATGGGGAAAACCTTTAAAAATAATAATAATGATAATAAATAAATAACACTGGGGTCCAGCAGGTGACATGGTGGCTAAGACGCTGGACACTCCCACATGGCTGACCATGGTTCGAGTCCCAGACTTGGTGGCTTGCTTTCTCACTTACTCTCTCTCTCTCTCTGGCAAAATTTAAATGAATGAATGAATAAATAAAATTGAATAAATAATTCTTTTAAAATAAATAAATAAATAAATAAATAACATTCTGGGTATATGCCCCAGATCCCAAGAAGAGAATGGAAGAGAAGGGAATTCAGTATTGCCATCCTCCCAGGGGGTAATTTCTCACTTTCCTTCTCTCTGTGTCTCTCTGTCTCTCTCTTTGGTGAGCAAAAACTTTTATAGCAAAAACTAAAAAAAAAAGTTACTGGTCAACTGGGTTTCAGGATAACTGGATAGAAATTTGCCTTGGAACTTGGAGATTAAGTATCATTCCAAAGATAATAACATTCTAGGATAGTAAATCTAGAGATGCTTATCTCATCTGCCCTGGAGACACACTGATTTTAAACCCGCAGACTTTGCCATCTCCCTGGAGGGGATTTCTTTAGACTTCAGAATAAAGCTTGAGTTCTCTTGCTAGCTCTCTCCCTCTCTTACAAGAGAAAGGAAACAGACACATGCCAGCTCCCTATGAAAAGCTCCAATACTTATAATGTGGGGGATTCTCTCCTATGATGCAAACTCTGCTGCACATCCAGGTAAAAACAGTGCATTATGAGGCTGCTAGGTGGTGTGGTGGTTTAAGGTGCTGGACTTCCACATGGCTGACTGTGGTTTGAGTACCCAGACGTGGCAGCTTTCTTTCTTTCTCTCTCTCTCTCTCTCTCTCTCTCTCTCTCTCTCTCTCTCTCTCACACACACACACACACACACACACAGACCCTCTCTGGTCAAATTTTAAAAATAAAATAAATTATTTTATTTAACTTGAATTATTTTATTTAACTTGATGTAATATTATTATTTTTCAGTTTGATCAGAGAGTGACAGAGAAAGAGAGGGAAAGTGAGAAAACAAGCCACCAGGTCCAGAAGTTGAACCGCTGTTGACCATGTGGGAGTCCAGTCCCCTTAACCACCATGCCACTTGCTGGTTCTCCCCTCTTTTTTAAAAAAATAAAATAATTCTTTTTAAAAATGCATTGTAGGGCAAGTAGGTGGTGGAGTAGTTAAGGTGCTGGACTCCTACATGCTTGAGGGCAGTTCGAGTCCCAGACCTGGCAGCCTGAAACTCATGCTGAGCTTGTGTGCATGCATGCCCAAAATCTCAAAAAGACAATGAGGAGAAGGGATTGTGGTGGAGCCACCCTCTGGGGGGGTAATTTTTGCTTTCTGTCTCTATGTCTCTCAGGTGAGTGCACACACCCTGTAGCAAAAATGTCTCCAAAAGAAAAAAAGAAAGAAAGACACACACTGAATGAGTGTATATGTGTGCTCAGATCTCAAGAAGAAAATTAAGAAGGGATTGTAGCGTGGCCTTCCCCTGAAGATGATTTTTTCACTTTCTTTCTCTTTTTGTTTCTCTGGGAGCACATGTACACTATACTAGAATTTTTTAAAATGATAGTTAACTTGTAAATAGATTAAAATCTCATGCGCTTTACAATTGCAGGCTTAACAGACCCTCACTGTCAGTATTCCACACAGCCATCTCCAAAACATAGCTCTGACTTTTCCCTCTCTTCCTCAAATAATTTTCATGGCTCCCCAGAGCCCTCTGGATCAAGTTCAACTTCTTTGATTGGACATACCGCATCATGGTCTATTGTAACTCTTGCATTCAGATCCCCAAGAGGCCCACCTTGGCTAGGAGGAGCACATCAATGAAATCCAAAGTCTTCGCCTTGGCCTTGGCCTTGAGGAAGTCGTCCACCCCCTGACTGGGGAGGGTGCGGCGCCGTTCCTGGATGACGGCATCTGTGAAGTCATGCACCAGGTGGCAGGCCCTGCGGAAGCGCTGCCCGTCGGAGGTGAGGTAGTACAGGGCATTCGTGTGCAGGAGGAGCTGCTGGTGCCTCTTCGCCACCAGGGCACTGAGCTCCAAGATGGCGGCGATGTACTCACTGGGTTTCCTGCAGGAGAAGGGCATGAAGGGAGGCGGCACCTTCTTACCTCTGCAGCCTGAGGAGCACCCAACTAGCTACAGCCATGAGCTCCCCCCCCCCATTAGAAAACTGAGCATCGACAAGGATACGTGGTGGGGATGAGCCGTGACTCTGGACTCTCCAAACTCTCTTCTCTCCCTGCATTTCATCTCTGTGAGCTGCCTCCATGCCCTGGACACCCAGGGCAAAGCTTGGGCATCATGGTCCTTCCTGTGCATTCTACCCAGTCTCCACTCTGGCTCCTCTCCCTCTCTAAGCTGTCCACACAGCTTAGACATTCTCTTCTTCCAACAGGCCCATGGCCCAGCCTCCTCCCAGCCTCTTTGCATTCAACGTTGGCTCCATCCAGTGTCTAAATCTCACTCTGTCCTCTGCAGGGCTCAGTTTTGACCATGCCCGTCAACAGCTCAAACACTTTCAATAGCTCTCTGGAAACCTCTTGGGATCAGCAGATGATATAGTGCTTTTGTCGCTGGACTCCCACATGGCTGACCATCGTTCAAGTCCCAAACCAGTGGCTAGAAACTCACACCAGGCTCATGTGCGTGCAAGCTCAAGATCCCAGGAGAATGGAGAAGGGATTGTGGTGGGGTCACCCCCGCCAAGGGGTGATTTCTCACTTTCCCTCTCACTGTCTCTGTCTCTGGCAAGTGCATGTACCCTGAGGCAAAAAGCCTTAAAACACAAAACAAAAACCAATTCATACTTCTTTGAATTTCCAGTGTCCCTTAAAATCTAGTCCCTGTCTACAACCTCATTCTACTGTCTATTGCACTGTTCATCTGAGTCTTTTTGCCTTTGCTCAAACTTCCACCCACCTAGAACTATCTCTTCCATTCTCTGTCCTTACTGCCTAGTTCTGACCTACCTCCTTCAGGAAGGCTCTTCAGATTTCCCTGGTCATTCCTCCCTTCTCCACTTACTCCCTGAGGCCCACGGTCAAGCTCCCAGGCCCCGAGCAAGAACTCACTCCTGACAGTTGCTGTCAAAGCTGAAGACGCACTTCTGCAGACTGTCCAGGGTCATGAGGCTGATGTGCTCGAACATGTCCAGACGGGCACTGCCTTCTGAGGCCAGGCACTTCCACTTGGCCTGGACAGAGAAAGGGACAGAGCTGGGCTCGGCCTTAGTCCCCTCAAGTCCTTCCCCAACCCCAACCAGCAAGATAGACTCCCCAGAACCATCTTCATGGTCTTTTGCCCAAAACATCCAACCTTAGGGAGGACCAGGCTTGAGTGGGAGAAGCTGCTACTATCGGGCCAGCAGGTGGACTCCCACATGGTTGACCTTGGTTTGAGTCCTGGACCTGGCAGCTTGAAACTCGTGTCAGGCATGCATGCCCAAAATTCTGAGAGGAGAATGGAGAAGAGATTGCA